AGCGACCAAGCAAGGATCAATAACAAAACACGACTCCCCCTCTCCTACAGGAAACCTCGTTCCTAAGACATGAAGCATCCCGCATCCACCGATAGCGCCGACGAAATGTCAAGGGATTGCGTAAGCACGTATGCATGCGAGACAGTCGTGCGCACTCACAAAGGGAAAACACAAGCGGCGAGCAGCAAGATGCACGCCCGACTAAAGGTGCATCACCTAGTTGCTGCTGCTTGGAACCCACGCTCAGCCGAAACAAGGTGAAAACCTAAGCAAAGAAGCAGACCATCAAGGATTCGATAGAAACGGCCGATTCAAAATACGAATGTAAGATATATAGTATTTCCTCATTTCAGTCTATGCTCGTGTCTATTGAGCCCAACTGTCCCCGCACTGGCTGGCAGACCAGATAAACCGAGCAGTACACGCTGGCAAGCGCGCTATTCCTGAATTGGTAACATTTGCGGTGATCGTTGTTGCCACGTGTCTGCTATCACGTTGTTCCACATAACAGCCAATATTGTCGATGTACTCATCCAATGCCTCTCCCGGGCCCCGCCGTGCGCAGATTGACCTCCCAACATCTCAAAACCCAAGGACTCATCAGGCGTCGCGAGCTAGACTTTTTCATGCAAATGTGTAATAGACAACGTTTCACCTGGAGACGCAAGGCCCCGCAGAGACCAACGTTACATGCACAACCTACCCTTTAACACNACAACGTTTCACCTGGAGACGCAAGGCCCCGCAGAGACCAACGTTACATGCACAACCTACCCTTTAACACCCTGCTACTCTCAGTGGCTCGGTAGTGCAGTCCGACAAACCACAGCAAGCATCGAACCCATGAAGTCAATGAACGGCACAAACGTCCACCAAGCCAGAGGTCAGGCTACTGCACAGTTGAATATGAGTGTTCGAACTGGTTACCGGCAGAGCGTATGGAATTTATGGCAAACTGCATCAAACATTCATTCGCTCGTGTTGACCATTCGGCGCTGACCTTCTTTGTTAAGTGGCATTGACCATCAAGTCGACCAGGACTGCAAACGGGCCCTGCCTAATACTGAAGCCACAGAAGCTCGTCAGCAGCATTCACCAGACAAACGCTGACGCAAGTCATACTGAGCACTGCATCTCCCCATTTCTGCGATGAGCCATGCATGAGAGCGTCTCAAAGCACGCAACAAGCAGCACATGCGGGTGAAGGTGATGAAGACTTCTACCACCAACGAGCATGTGGGGTGCCTGTTGCAGCCACCGTCAGACTGTTCCGGAATACTGACGCACCGGCTGCACCAACACGAAGTTTGTGAAGGCAACACAATGTGATCGGGTTACCCCCGCAGGCGCACTGGTCCTATGATTTGTGGTCGTCACAGCTCCCCTAAAGGCCACAGCAGATAACTAACACAGTAAGGAGCAATGCTGCAACTGCCCGACACACGCTGTTGCCTATTCTTAGAATCCCTGCGTACTTCCTGGGGGCAAGTTAGCAGCACATTGCTCACCGCAAGTATGGCGCCGGTAAGGCGCAAGCTGTTGGTGCAAGAGAAGCAGAAATCGCTTGCTGGGGCTCTGCACACATGCCCCATGGAAATGCGTGCAGGGCATTCCCTGTAACAAAGAAGTCGAGGAACAAACAGATTTGCTACAACGTTGCAGAATTATTGGTTCCCATCCAGAGGCTCAAATGGATGACCGTGGAGGATACAGCTTCTTCTTGACGCTTAGACGCGTCCGCAGCAACAGAACCGCATGTCAGTGAAGACTGACTGTTGTGGAAGGTAAGTTCTGGCTACCACGCCTAGCCAGGTATACGACTCTCTAAGCAGCGTGCTTTTTCCGCGAAGCACGTATCACAGTATCACTGATGGGGTAAGAAAATAAATTCCGTCGCCCGACATAACCCACTACTTACCGGAGAATCACAGCCATATCGCCCTGTTTCATAGCATGCGCAGTGCGCAGAGGCAGGGTCCCCAATACTGCATACCCGCGTACTCGACTGTTTCGCAAGCAAAAGTGCGTAATGCGTACGTCAAATGTCGCCTAGCCCTCTTGTTTCTGGCACCGGCAAATTTCATAGTGCCGGCGGTATAACCAGCGTAAAGGCAAGCCATGCTACAACGCGGGCTCCGCGCAGGACATACGGCCTCCTGCTTCTCGACGATCAGTTCCACCCCAGAGAAACTGTGGCGCTGCTTCGAATTGCTACAGTTGGGCGTATTCCTGGCTCACCACCTGGAAGCCCATAGAATTAAGCGAATAAGTACCCCATGATCGTTGCATAGTATATACGCGGTTCACAAGAATAACTTGTCGAGGTCCAGCTATCGCGAACCTGCGAACCATGGTGGTAACCATTTTGCTGCTCGTGACAAGCGCGCGTCGGCTTGCACGTAGTTATTCACAACAGCCAATATCCTGAATGTCCCAAACAAACTTGTCTACGGGGGGGCACAGTGTCATCTTGAAGAGACGAAATGAAATGATTCATCTGGCGTGACAAGTTCTGTACTATGACGCAAAGGCTCAAAAACGAATTTCCCCGATGCAGTAGTATATTTTCAAGAGGACTGGTGCAGTGGGAGATTTGGGTTCGTGAGACTTTGCAACTTGGACGGTCGACATCATGTACGAATGTGCAGTCTGCAACAGTGTCTCCAACCTTCAGTGTTTGTCAGTTCATAGACCTCCGATGCCTCTGTAAAAAGGCGTATGAACTAAATGCGCCTCCGACGTCAGTAGCAGGCACTTCAACCAGCATCTGGAGGGTTGTTGATAGGTTCATGATTCACCCGACATTGATTGCTAGTAGCAGCGCGGACAGGGCCTGTCCTCGCTAGGATAGCTGACGATATCCGAGAGGCGGTCGAACGGATAGGAGACACTGCTCACGCGCTGATTATCTGCCGAGAAGGTGGCCCAATATTCGCTGGATTTTAGAGCCTTGAAGAAGAAGAACGCGGTAGCAGCAGAGACAGCCACAACGGCAACCGCTAAGATCAGCGACATTGTGTCTTGCTTCCTCTGTACCGGTGGATTGGCACTCTGACCAAACATGCCAAGGCCATTCTGCACGTAAATGACATCACGGCTGCCAACAGGCGCGACCGGTTCTTGATCGACGCCCGTCGCCTCCGCTAGGATTGCCACGGAGGCAGCGAAAAGTGACGAGGCCACAAACATTTCGAATGTTAAATGGGCCTGTTATCGTGCTTTGTATAGGATAAAAATAGACCCCTTAAAATTTCAATGTGGTTGTAGAAAATGGGCTTCTTGTGAACTTAGCCAGCAGCACGCAGGCACGTATTGCAGGCGCGCATGTACAATCGACTGCACAACTCCACTGCATCTGACGCTAGTGTGTAGATTATGCTTCCTTCCTTTCTTTTATGGAATATATTCGCTTTATATCATGAAAATAAGTGGGGTGGTGCTACTGTGAACCCGCTTGCCGCAGGAACAACTGTAGAATGACCCGCCGGATGACCGTGTATGCGCTTGAATGGCCACTTGGTTGGAAACGCACATAAGGCGGGATTTACCTTAAAGCCTTGAACAATTCTTTTGTCCAAATGGCGTCTCGTTTCATTCGTCGCTGTGCTGCTCTGCGACGAGAGTCGTTGATCGCAGTAGAGGACCGTCGCCGTAGCATTATCTGTGTGAAATTGGCACGTGTATCATTACTTGTGAGCATGCTGGCTATACGAGGCCAAGGTAGTGTTCAGCAATTTTCTATAGTGTCACTGCATGCAGATAAAGGGGTGTTGTAGCGCTCAGGGTCCAATGGTGCTTACAAGTTCACGGAAGTCACGCGGATCTGCTGTTAACAAAGGAAAACCGAACTTATACTCTTTAGTACTGAACTACTATCAGCTTCTGAAGAGAAACTCCAAGGATATTGCTCCGAAGGCAGAAGACAGTGACTTTCGGATCGTAGAGGTAACATCCCCTACATAGTGAGCTGATAGAGGCTAATATCATGGAACATGGGAACCCCGAGTTGTAACTATTTTGTTCCGTGTGCTCCACACGTTGTAGAAAATGTCCTGTTCCGACTGATATTGGTTCTGCGTTCCCTGGTGGAGACTACCGCTTGATACGGGATGTAGCATGAGTTAGCGCAGAAGCCTTCCCAAGGTTTTGGCACTGTAACACACGGTGGGCGTTTGCCGTGGCTACGTCTGTCCCTTGAATAGTCCCGTGGTCTCAATGTCATTGGACCTACAGGATGAATACCTAAATAACATCAGGTTTCTGTTATTCCCAGGGAAAGTCCCAAAATTACGGAACTTCCGGTGGGAGAATCGATCGAAATCGCTCCCCACATAGTATCTGCTTTCCCTTGCCAGGGGCGAGCTGGCCAGCCAATCCGGGACCAGGTGCAGCGGTCAGAATGCCGGCGAGCCCTGGCCCTAGACCTCTAACCACTAATATTTTCATAATCCCACTAGTACTACTCAATTCTACTTATACTTGGACCAAGAAAGTCTAAGACATCGAATACCTCAGGGTATGCACTCTCCATCTTGCTCTTAGGCTATCGCAACCTGTGGGCAATGCAGTGTCTATGCACTACAGGCACGCTGCGTGTAAGCGCTTGCAAAAGTTCTACAAGTTCGTTCAAAGGCAAAGCATGCGACAAAGGAAGCTTCTCTGAAGCCTCCTTACGTGCACGCGTGGGGCTGGCTTGTACTACCAGCCGCAGCGGGGTGCGCTGCGACCCCATTTCTGGCTGCCTCCTCCCCGCAACACCCAGGCCCTGAGCTCAACGCCCAGCATGCCTAGGGACCGGGGGAGGAGGTCAGCTGCTTTTGGGAAAGTCTTGCTTTAAGTCTTTGCCTACATTGCGGCTCGCTTCTGGCCAGATAAAGGCCAGAGAACAAGCGTTACATGGGACGTTTCCGCACCTGGAGGGTGGTCCAACAAATAGCTGTCCGCTATTCTGTCTGCATTCTCTAGTTCCGGCTACCACCGTGATGTCAATCTCTACTCGTAACTATAACTGCCTACTTAGTATAGTAGTCTAATTGTTTCCCAATTATTACATATTATAGTGTTAACAATTGCGGTTGAGGTGAAATCATGCTCTACTGAGATTGGAGTTGGCCGTCTACAGTCTTTTTTTGCTTGTATGCGGGGATGCCTTGCAGCACTGGTTACTGCGAGGTGCGCTGAAGCTCCTGTCGGGCCGTCGCCCCTCCCCAGCTTCATGCCCTTGGACCGCCGAGCTCGGCTCGCCTGGGCACTGGAGAGGATCTCAGATGATTTTTGGAAACATGTGTCCTAAGCCCTTCTGACACTTTTGCAGCGCGCTACCGGCCTCATATAAAACTGAGGATTCATTATGTAGCATTGCCTTCGCGATGTTGGTCCGTGTATCCCTGCTTGAGGGCAGGCTGGCATCTGAGGGCCGACAACGTGCTCAACGCTCGTCTATAGTGCTAGTGCGCAGAGCAATAGAATTTGGTTTTGTGGGAC